GTAATTCTGGGCACTGATCTCCGTTTACACAGCTGTACCGTGATGTTTCCCAAAACAAGTCATTATGCTCCTGTAACAATCTCTATCTCTTCTAGGCCCTTTGCTGTTCCTGGAGAGGCAGGGAGGGAGAACCAAGTTTTCCCTCACTTTTAATCACAAATTGTCTGCCACTGCCTGAGCAGATGTCCAGTAACATACCTCGTCTCTTTCTGTGCTACCAGCTGCCTTTTTGTTTTAATTCTTGGCACACAGGATCCCAAAGTATCTGTCTTACATTTCTTTAAATGTTTTTGATCTCTTTGAAGCTCCACTGCTTGCATAACACTTTACTTTGCCATAACTTGCACGTGTAACTTACATCTTACAAATTTCACAGAAAACACACAACTGCTCTTGTAACTATCCATAAAACCTAACCCTTCCGAAGGACTCTGTCATTTACACAGCCTTTCCAGCAGAGATGACTTTCTCTGCTCTCTCTTAGCTTTCTGTTGCAAACACAGTGGGAGGTTCTTACTTAATCTCAAGTGGACCACAACATGTACTCATGGCCACTACTCTGCCTGACCCAGACAAACAAAGTTGTCTGGTCAGCGGTAACAAACCATCTCTCCTGCACAAAACTTACAACCCTAGTCACAATTACCGTACAACTTTACCTTACTACAAATTTTAGCTAACCCCTTTAAAATGCCTCCAAACAGTTAGACAGAGGAACAGATTTTTAGTAGCCACATTGCTATAGCCTCCTTTTTTATGGAGTGTGGTAGTATATTATATCTCTGCATACAGTTCTTAAATTTGTCTTCTAAGTCTGCAATGGTATGTGCATCAGATACTTCCTGCTCAGTCCAAGGACTATGTCCAAACCGCTGCAGCACTTGTTTTAAAAGACTCGTATCTTGCAGATATGTAGGCAGGGGATCTTTGACATCTGCCTCACTCTTTACTGTTTTTTTTTTTTGAACATCGTAACTTCTGTCTCCTGTATTTTTCTTACTACTTTAAGTTAGTTACCGTTTGTTAATACTCAAATCCAGTATACTAGTCGTCCGTACAATGTGCCAAAAAGTCCAGTTTCCAAGATTAACCAAGTCTGAAAACAAAACTCGACACCAAAGCAATGGTCTCCTTTCTTATAGGTGGTCCAGACTATCCTGGTAGTCCATAACCCACAAAGTCAGCTTCTTAATTATCCACAACCCACAAAGTGGGCTTTCCAAGTTAAACAACTTGTCCAAGTATCCAAGTATTCCTCTATTCTTCTAAGTGTCTGGTCTAACCCAAGACCACTATACCCGGCACTTCTACCACCGGGCGGTGTGCACACCTTCAGATAGACAGACAAACACATATACAGACAAGACTTACTATACAAATAACATGCAACTGATCAATAACTGCAACATGGAACCTTATTCACCCCCACACACATTCTCCACCAAAATGTTACACAAATTACCAATTGCTCAAATCACGAGCAAGACTTTATAAAGGGGGATAAGGCAAGGTGCCACATTTATTGATTACATGTGTTGGACATAGAGATTCAGGCACACCATTCATACAAACACACACAAATCATCATACACATCATTACACACAGGCATACACGTACACAAAACCACCATTTCATCCACACATACACCAGATATAATTACCAGCAATAGTTGCTCAATATCAGCCCAGGGTGGCCTACCCGGGCTTAATGAGTAGATGATGATGATTTGAAGATAGCAGATTTGAAGATAACAGATGGAACAAGGTGAACAGATGCATCTGTGCTGTGATGAAACAGTAGTAGAGAAAGACACGCACCCAACTTGGCATTTTCAAAGTGTTCTTTTATAGGGATTGACATCCTTTGTTTCAGTGCTTTGGGGGTTTTCATACCCAGTTTCTGTTTTTGCGGTTGTTCTTCTTTTTTCTTCAGCTTACCTTAGCCTTGGAGTGTTCTTGTTGCCCATCTGGTAGAATTTCTTCTTCTGTTATCTCCTTTGTGCCCTTGAGCTTGAAAGGGATTCTTCAGCCATTTGTTAGTTAGTTACTGGCTGGGAACTTACATTTGGTGACTTGTTGCTTCCATAAACAGTTAAATCTTCTTCTCCTGTCTCTCTGCCATTCTCTCACCATTCACCCTTTTACACACACTCGTACATAAAGGCTATGCAGAGTTCATTTGCTTATGTCAAGCAGAAGGATACAAAATGGTGTTTTCAAGTTGCTTACAGGACAAGACTAACATGATTATATTTTACTATTATTACACTCTGTTAACATTAGCTACATTAATTCAGTTCATGCTATACTACCACTGTTCGGGAACACCTGCCACACATGCTTCCTTTTCACTAATTAGCAAAAAGTGAAAAACCCTGTAGTGAGCTGGGGTATTTCCTAGTTTATGTAAACTGTCTTGTTTATGCCAAGTGACTGCCTTATCTATGCAAAGTAGATTGGCTAGAGTATAGTAGACATTCGCCCCACTGAAAAGGACGAAGCTTACCTTATTAATGAAGCCAGTGTACAGTAATTTTCGTAAAGGCTTGTGAACCTAAGAACTGTCTACTGGTTAGATTGCCATTATCAATTATGTATGCATGCTTTCTAATATTTCCTCAGCTGACTTCTGTGGGTCTCTACAGGACAAGGCTTGTTCTGATTTGGATAGAGTTGTCCTTTTAACCACCCGCATGATTAAATACAGACTGCTGACATTTTAGTTACAAGATTAGGTCTCTGTGCAAGTCCAGCATATGATGCTGCAAGGTGCTCATACTTGTGTGGAATTCCGAATGTATATGAGTCTCTGTCCTGAAAACAAAGATGGTTGTGTTGATAATTACCTGTACAGCAAACCCTGTAAGTCAGCACTTAGGACTTGACAGGTTTGCATTCAGGAAATTGAAATAAGAAAGGACTGAATTCTTTGAGCAGGGTCAGCTATAATTATGCATATCCTAAAGCAGGGGTCAGCAACCCCCAGCACATGTGCTGAGCACAGCACACAAGGCCATTTTGCTCAGCACACCACCACCAGCCTGGGCTCTAGGCAGCTGCTGCCAGCCACGAAGCCCGGGCTGCTCCCAGCAGGTGACTGGGTGGCTACAAGCCCTGCTGGAAGCAGACCGGGCTCCGTGGTTGGCAGCAGCTACCCAGAGCCTGGGCCGGTTGCAGCCCAGGAGGCTGCAAACATCTACTCCGGGCTCCAGCATTAGCTCCATACCAGCAGGTGAACATGTGCCTCGGAGCGCATGGAGGGGTGGGGGCTCTGAGGCAGCACAACCCTGAACTCTTCCCCTGCTGCTGACACAGAGCTGCTGACTGGGCTCTGGAGCCTAGCACAGCCATTCATAGCCAGCCTGGGGTCTGGGCAGCTGCAGCAGGCAGCAAGCAGGCTACAAACACCTGTGCCGGGCTTCACAGCCCCGGCATCAGCTCCATGCTGGTAGTGACTGCACGTGGACCTCAGAGCGGATAGTGGGAGGAATGTGCTGCCTCAGTCCCTATCCTCACCGTCCACTCCAAGGCATGCGCGCACCCGCCGGTATGGAGCTGATACCGGAGCTTGGAGCAGATGTTTGCAGCCTCCTGGCTGCAACTGGCCCGGGCTCTGGGTAGCTGCTGCCAACCACGGAGCCCTGTCTGCTTGCAGGAGGGCTTGGAGCCGCCCAACCACCTGCCGGGAGCATCCTGGGCTTCATGGCTGGCAGCAGCTAAGCCCGCCTGCTCCCGCTCTGAGCCCAGCATCTGGTTCTGTGCGTTTGTCTGCCTCTGTCTGGTTCTGTGTGTCTGTGTGCGTATACGTGTCTGGTTGCAGATGTTTGTGGGCATGTGTCTGTTATGGGTGTGTTCTGGTTCTCTGTGTTTGTGCACGTGGTTCTGTGTGTGTGTGTGTGTGTGTGTGTGTGTGTGTGCGCACGCACGCACGCGCGCCTGGTTTTCTCTCTGCTCTCCTTTTCCTTTTTCTTTCTCTTTCTCTCTCTCCTCTTTCTCTTGTCTCCTTTTTTCTCTCTCTCTCTCATTGCAACATGCTCAACAAAAAGGGAATACAGACCAACAAAGGCAACATTTATGGTTATTAAATGCACTAATATGCAGTGTGTCCTGCCTTGTACACCCCACCCTCATTTTGTTTTTCTGGCATGCCGGCACTCCGGTACTTTCTATGGTAGACATTGTGGTTTTTTCAGCACTCCAGCCAAAACATGTTGCCTACCCCTGTCCTAAAGCTTTACCGTTCTCATTATCCATGCAGTATAAATAACTTGTTCTTTGCTTACCTTTTGCAGCACAAACTACAGGGTCAGAGGTGATTCAAATGTTTCCAGAAAATGGCAACATGGGCAAGGTCCTCCCTGAGTATCTGAGTAACTGGACTACAAACAAAGTCAAAAGAGGTAAAGCCATGGGACTCAGTCATCTACACCAGCTTCCATATTCTAGGAAAGCATATGAAAGCTGCAGAAGCCTGCACTGTATTGGTACCCGTTTCCTAGCATCTCCCCAGGGACTCCAGTGTTCTACCTGTTTGTCAGTAGTCTCAGCTAGAAAACTTCCTCTGGGAAATGGTGTCCCTGCCAGTGATTTTTGGCAGTCTCAAGGGATCCACCTGCTATGCAGGCATTCCCTAGGACCTCTGACTTCACCAACATGCTGAGATTCTTTTCACTTGCACCTGGTCATAGCTCTAGACCAGAAGAAAAACAGGTATGTAACTGGAGAGTTGATCCTGAGAAAAGCTGTTACTTCTTGGGTTTCACTTCATTGGGATTTTCCCCCTCTTTTTGTATTTATACATCCATATGACACATTCTTTATCTGCTCATCCCTTTGGTTGTGTTTCCTATTACTTGGTGAAGGTAGTATGGATGTCTACATAAGATGTGAGGAGGAAATAAAGCTTGTTGATTCTCATCCCTAGTGGCAGTGGGAAAGGGTGAATTTGGTGGTGGTGGTAAGCAGCACTCACCTTGGGGGCTAGAAAGAAGCAGGGAGGGCTCTGGAGAAAATTATTAGGAAGGCAGGCAAGAGTGAGCTGAGCTCTGTCACTATGGGCCAGATCCAATTGGCATACAAGTAATCTGTGGTATTGACAGTAGTTAGACACAACTCGGTACTTCCTTCACTCCCTGGCACTTCTTAGGGGAGTGTCCCCTTACTCCAGAGGGGACCTTGAAAATAAAAAAAATTTGCATGCAGAACAAGCATAGGTCTCCTACTAGGCAGTCCTTGAGCAGAGCAGGACATGTTTTGAGCTAAATCTTCTGGGCTGCTTAGATGGCACAAAGCAGCCATAAAGCTGGCTTGGCTGCTTGGTGATAACCTTGAGTCAAAAGATCTTCATGTAGCACAAGGCCAATGTTGTGGCTTCTGAGGCACCCATTCTTCCAGTTACTTCTGCAGGGGCCTTGGCCAGGGTGCCTAAGCGCAGGACCATACCTGCTGTTGAAGTGGCCCTGAGGCTGTGTTGACATTTATGGCAGGACCTAAACCAGTGACCAGCCCTGTGTCAGTCCAATCCTTGCAGTTATTAGCAGGTAAAGCAGCTATGGTGTTGTGTGGTTTTGTTTTTTCCCTTTGGCTTCATCAGTTGCAGAATAAGTTCTTATTCTGTGGAGAGTAAGGCTGTGGGTGTGGGAGAAGTCACTCCACAACTATGGAGACAGAACAGAACTGATGGGTCCTTGGGGCTGAGACCTTGCTTCAGGGGTCAGTGAGTGGCAGGGCTGGTCTACTTCTGTTACATTGGGCCTGTACTTGGGCAGGACCTGTAGACCCAGCTGAGAGAGAGCAGTACGTAGCCTAGATATTTTCTAGTGCTTGGGCACTGGAAGAGTCAAGATTGCAATCCCTGGAGGATTCTGTCCGTGTAACTTGAGCCTCCTTATACAAGTGCTTGTCTCTGTAGTTCACAAGTGTTAAAACAAGCTTTTGTCAGGTGGCTTCCTTTCCGTTGATGCTTTGCTCTGGACCCATGCAACAAAGAATCCAGTCTCTTTTAGTCCTTGAGCCATTCGCAATTCTCTCTTCTGCTGTCAGGAGATCTGCACCACTGACTCTGACTTTCACTGACATTTCTGCATACCTTGTTGGCAGTCTAGTCACGTGCATCCTGTTTTTCCTTTCCAGAGGGTGTTAATGTTGTGTCCAGTGCTGTGGTGAAGTCCATCTCTGTCTGTGCCAACCGGCTGTTGATTAAACTGAAGGATGGAAGAAAGGTAAACAGGAGAAGCAGGTAGTGAACCTGACATGTGGAACTGTGCACTGGGAATTGACATAACCAGAGTTAATTCTGTCTCAATCAGGTAGAGACCGATCATATTGTGGCAGCAGTGGGCCTGGAGCCCAATGTGGAATTAGCAAAGTCTGCTGGCCTGGAGGTAGACTCTGATTTTGGAGGGTTCAGGGTGAATGCAGAGCTGCAGGCACGCTCCAATATCTGGGTGGTAAGTGTGTGCAAGTTGAGAAGGCTTTCTGTGTGATGTTTATGTTGCAATAAACACATGTGCAGCAGTAGTGGGATTTTAAACCCAGTTTGAATGAAGGGAGAGAAGGTGTAAAGTGAGCAGCAGGATCCCACCAGCAGGCAGAGGTAGTTCGTCATTAATGCGTGCACTCTGGCACTTCTTGCTATAGAAGTTTGCCCACAGTCCTAACTTACAAACAGTAGTGTCGCACAAGAGGAGTTGGCGCATCCCAACACAGAGAAATCCTGCAGTGTTGCATGAGAGTCCCTTTGTCAAGGAGTCAGGACTCTCCTAAGGTATAAACACAGCTTGCAGGGGCAACCTGTAAGCTTAGTACAAGGTATTAAGGGTTCCCAGCCCCTCCTTTTATATGCACTTTTGCTTATATCCTATGTATCCTGTACCATATTCTTAGCAAATAATAAAATGTTTTTACTAGGGTGTATTGGACCCTTGTACATTTTATCTTTACTGTGGTGTCTTGGACCACCTGGTACTGGTCTTATCAATCAGTCTTCTCCATTAGCCTTGCTGAAACATCTCTATAACATAATTTGTGTATGCATATTCCAACATAAGCTTATACAAGCAGTTCAAGTATCAGTCATGGCTCTAGAGGCATATACATTTGTCAGTGTTTTAACAGTATATGTACTAATCAATGATTGTATTAATCATTGCTCCCGTGAGGCATGCAAAAGCTATTGTAGTTTTCCAAGATGGGTAGAAATGCAGAAATTGCAGAGACTATCAAATCTGGGTCTTTTTTGCAAATTATTTTCCTATTCGTATTTGGGCAATAGCTCCATTACTTGTTTCCTGTCCAGTTCTCACTGTGCATATCTCCCTAAGGCAGGGGATGCTGCCTGCTTCTACGATATCAAGCTAGGCAGAAGGCGTGTGGAGCATCACGATCATGCTGTTGTGAGTGGAAGATTAGCCGGAGAGAACATGACGGGAGCTTCTAAGCCATATTGGCATCAGTCAATGTTCTGGTAGGTTTGTTTGATTCTCTTGCAGTAAACCTTTCTTTGCTTCTTATTGGCCGAGAATCTGGAGTTGACATTTAACAGTTACCACAGGTTGTGGGAAGTGGATCTTAACTGCTGACCATAACAGAAAAGTTTTATAATGTTTATATAGATTTTCTTCCTCATTCCAGGCACTGTACCAAAGTCCCAGTGTTGTGTTTAGAGCAGTTTTTCTCAGCCAGGGTGCTGCAAACTTCTTCGGAGGGTTGCTGTTGTGGCAGCCCCTGTGAGAGGAAGTAAGCACTGGCTCTTCTACATGCTGGGCATCCTGCCTGTGCTCCATTGCAGTACCAGCACTCCCCATGGCCCCTCCCACTGGTTCAGGGAATACAAGAGGAGCAGGGAAACACGCTGAGCAGAAAAGCACAGCCATCCCCCAGCAACCCTGTGGCCACCGCCCTGCCCCATGGTTTGTGCAATCTGCTGTGGGTCAGTACAAGGCTGTTCCCCCTCTCTTCCCAAGCTCCAAGAGCTGGTGAGGGGCCACACTCACCTCCTCAGTTAGAGGTAGGGCTGATGACAAAAAAAAAGGGGATATGGAAGGGTCCTGCCCCTGCGGCCTCACCTGTCAC